CATGAAGAAAGTGGATTTCAGTCAAGAATATAATGAGAAAATCATGACTTTGCTCACCAACACATACGAACAAGTTAGCATTATAAATTCCAAGATCAAAAGGAAATCCGGCTATCAAGCAAAACAAATTTTAATGGATGAACTTCAATCTACTGGCGATACTAACGAAACACGCGGCACCAGCATAATCAAGAAAATCTATAAAGGAATTGACGTGGCATGTAAAAAAATAACAATAGAAAAGGAAAAAGTAGCCGAGGTGGAAAAATTGGAATCTCAGTTGGCCATTCTCGAAAAATTGCATCATTGCGATTATATACACAGATTTTATGGAATTTTGAATGCGGGTGAAGATGAAAAAATTATGGTCTACGGCTGGGCCGAGCATGGTAACTTAAAAGAAGTCTATGAAAAATATAGCATCCCGTGGGGTAAAAAGCTCAGTATCGCATTGGGCATCTGCCGAGGACTGGTCTTCTTAAATGCGACAAAAATTTATCACCATGACATTCGGTGTGAGAATATACTCGTAAGAAAGAATTCATAGATTATATATGGTCACATTCATTTATTGTGTATCATAACTTTTTATTATCACACGTGTAGATGAATTCCAGATGGGAACCAAAGATTGCAAATTTTAAGATTGCGAGATGGATTAGCGGGGAAACAAAAAAGTACACAGATCCTGTGGCCTCACTTAATTGGATGGCGCCGGAGAAGATGAAGGAATTCGAAGATCCAAATTACAATGCTAATCCAAAAAAATACCGATATACAACAAGTTGCGAAATATTCAGGTAAAATTAAAGCATGTGAACATGCAATTTTACATATAATAACAGTACCTTTTCAATTTGATATCATATCATCAACTTGTAAAAAGTTTTGGAATGCTACTTTGGGAGCTGAAATATGAAAGAAAACCTTATGAAAATATGACGGTACAAGATCTGGTGAAACACGTGATTTCAGGGAAAAGGGAGAAACTGAATTGCAACAAATTATTGCCACATGGTGTTGAAGGGAAATATATTGAAATCATTCGTTTAGGTAAATAGTTACTTTGTACAATAACCTTCAGGCAACACATTCTAATCAACTTGCCTCAAACCATGTACATAGCATGGGAACACGAGCCACTCTTTCGTATAGAAATGGCTACCTTGTTTAAGAAAATGCTAGATATAAACAGAGAATACCGCGAAATTTCTAAATTCGACATTAACATCATCCCCAAAGAGAAAACCCCAAGTTCAAAGAATATCGTGGAAGGTATTGAGCAAAATGTCAACGATGACATACATGCTTACATCAAAGTAATACCTCCCATAGAAGACGGAATCAAAGCTTACGAAAGTGAGCGATATGATGAGGCGTGGAAGATCTTCAAGGAAAATTCCGAGTTGGGTATTAGCACTGCAAATTATTGGGTTGGTAGATTTTACTGGGAGGGGCTACATATCAAAAAGGATAAAGAGAAAGCCCTCGAATATTATGAGAAGGCAGCTAGTGATGCAAATTCCGAAGCACAGTATACGTACGCCGTGTCATTGATAGACATATATAAGGATAAATCATTCCAAAAGAAAGCTGAAATTATTAAAAATTTGAAAATGGCAGCCGCAAATGGTCATTCGAAAGCACTAAATTTATTGGGACATATATACTTGAACGGGAAGTTACAATCCACTATTGATAAAAAATTGGCGATAGAGTATTATAAGTTGGCTGCGTTGAAAGGCCAGACGGATGCAATCAAGACCTTAAATGAAATGGGGATTGATATGTATGAATAACATACATCCTCGTTATTTTCAGGGCGAATTTGTACATATAAAAAAATATTGCACATGTCATTTATATTGCTTTACCTCCTTAGATTGCAAAGAAATTGAACATTGTAATTAATAAATTAATAAATACACAAATCTTTTTATTACATCTTACATTTTAGATTTTTGTTTTTCTCGGCTATGACAATTTTTCATCTCAAGGTTACATCCTCATGATTTTTTCCATTACCATTTTTCCGGCTAATCCTATCCTTCGTGCAATGTCCAAATACCCAACACAACCCAAACAAAACATAACACAAAACAAAGTATCCAAAAAATACAAGAATCCATGCATCGCCACTTATCTCAATATCCTCATTGACAGAAAATACCAGATCACGACAAAACAGAATCGTAACTCCGATGCTCGTGAGCGTCGACTTGACGGCCGCTAACGAGATGCCCAAAATTGAACGTTAGACTTCCTAAAATCGCGAACATCAAATGCACAATTGATTCATACGTACACATTGGATTTTCGAGAAAATTCTCTAACTTCATAGTTATTATATAAGTTATTACCAAGAGTGAAAGGGTGAACAGCAATGTCCTTGTTATTTATCATTATATAGAAAAAGTGGTCACCGGGTATTAAGAAATAGGATCGTTAGTGAAGAGAAATTTTAAGATACATTTGAAACACACAGGAACACTTTATCAAAACTCACATCGCCACAAGCATACCACCAACAATGGCCCGACCCTATAAAGTTCGATCATTTAAAATTTTTTTTCATACAATCAGAGAGAGAATCGTAAATCGTAAAGGAAAAAGGAAAACGTAGAATTGGGAGAACGATGACGGGGAAATGCGCCGATATAAAACGTCGCAAGCGGTTGAGATGATATAAAGTCGTTTGAGAAATAAAAAATTTGAGAACAGAATCTTGTGAGTAATTTCATTAGTATGTCATTAGTACGGGACACAAGCAAACGCGTAAAATATTTGTTTCCACCCAAATGAACTGCCATCATTTAAAAAAAATCTCAAACAAGTGAAATCCTAGTAGTATCAATCTCTTTTTCTATTTAATCGTGCTCATATTATTAGACACAAACGTGGACAAACACATAACTCTGGCACAAAGTAAGGCTAAAAAATGCTATGAAATGGAAATAAAATATGAATATCCCCTGACTCAAGAAATCTCAATGTCATATATATAGGCAGTTCACTCTCGTAATCAGGAAATGAGACATCGTTCCATCTTTAATAAACACTATCTCTGCCTAGTTAATTAAGGAGAACCTAATCACGTGCAGGATAAAAAAATCTTATTCTCATGCTTTGTGATGTTCCATTACAAAGAAAAGGAAAGGAAAATCCCGATATCAATATTAATCAAAAACCTCAAATGATGTTTTTTTCGGATGGAAGCAAAATCGAAATAAAATAAAAAAACAGACGATAATAAAAATTCAGACAAAATTTTTTAATTACCTTAATATTATGATGACTTCCTTCTTGTACAGCCTCTGTCTCATTATTTTTCGTTTTCACTCCTGTCACTTCCTTGCCGCTCGTCGTCGTTACTCCATCGATCAGATTATCGTTTATCATTTCATTCTCACCAGTCCACTCGGAATCCTTGGTAGGTTCCGATGGTTTTTTTGTATGATATTGATGAAGGTTCCAACGATTAAATTCTCCATCACCCAAATTTACAATATTAATACCATCTTGTATTTGAGCACTTGAAATCAGCTCTACTCGTTTTGCCACCTCACGTTCAACCTTCTTCAAAAATTCAACTTGAAGGTCTTTCCGTATTCT